ACTGATATTGATTATAAATTTGAATTTACTGAGTTGACTTGCACCTAGTAATTATTAGTGCCTTTACATGTTAGTTAAGAAGAGTCTATGGAAGCAAAGAATACGTGGATGAATCAGAACTTTACCAATTAAAATTTTTAAGTGCTCTCATCAAAGAAACTCTAAGGCTACATCCACCAGTAGTATTGATTCCAAGAGAGAACAGTGAAAGTTGTGAAATTAATGGATACGTGATATCTCCTAAAACAAAGATTATCATTAATAGTAGGGCTATTGGAAGAGATCCCGAGATTTGGAACGAACCAGAGGGATTTGAACCAAAGAGGTTTTTTCAAACAATGGATGATTACAACTTCAAAAGTTCAAACTTTGAGTACATTCCATTTGGTGGTGGAAGAAGATATGCCCGGGAATTACATTTGCTACATCCATTTTGGAGTTGTTACTATCTAATTTGCTATACCACTTTGATTGGAAACTTCCGAAGGAGATGAAAGCTGAGGGATTGGATATGGATGAGTCATTTGGTGCTGTGGTAGCAAGGAAAAAGGATTTAAGTGTAATTCCTTTTCGATATTCTCCTTAATATGTATATAGGTTATATATATGTGTTTAATTATTATCTGAATGAATGGTGTTTTCAATGCTTTTAAATGTCCTTGAATCTATGCTGTGGATGCTAGAAATGAATAGTAAAATAATATCATTTTGAATTGAACATTTATTAGTCAAAAGTTACAATTCATGTGATCTGCAATCATATACATTAAAAATTGCAGGACAAGAGATAAAAAGCCGGTAGAGTACTTGTTTTTATTATTAAACGGTCTCCACGTCCTTCCAATACTACTTTTCATTAAATTGATTAAACAAAAAAATAATTAGAACTTAAAAAAACAGTTTTTCAAAACCCCAACTCTGATGTTATAAGAAGTTATCAGTCTCTTCGTGAGTTAAATAATTTGTCGCGAGAAGCAAAATTAGTGTTTTAGAATAATACAAAGTACACAAGCAACGTTTGCAAAGAAAGTACTCAAATTTTATAGATAGAAACACCAAAAATAATAATGTATATAGGGAGTCTTTATATTAAGAAAGCCAAATCAAGAACTTAATTAGAAGAATCCGATTCATGAGGAATGACTTTTTTGTTTTTGAGGAAATTAATGTGGTAGGATGATTAAGAACACAATTATGATCGACTTAACTATGGTTCTCCATTCTCTAACCTCTGTTTTTTATTTTCATGGATTGAATCATCTTCTTGGTTTATTTTCCCTTAGGAACACGACATACTCATCATGTAGGATAGAAAAAGCCTACCATCATAACTTAACTAGTACGAAACATTATCTTATTGAAAATAATGTCATGTACTAAATACAAATATTTCTCTCAACATAAATGTAAATTTTAGTTAGTTATATTTGTGAAAGTCTAGTGATTCAACTACTCTTAGTCAGTTTGTCCTTCTTTTTTTCTTTTGTCCGTGTTCATCAGTATGTTCCAAATTGTCTTTGGTATATTCTATGTGTGTCGGGTTCTGGGCATGATTGCTCGAATGAGTCTGGTCTTTTAGTCTAATTAGAATTTCTTTACGTAGTCATTTTATCTTTTAATAATGTTAATTTTTATATTAAAAGAATTTTTTTTTAAAAAAATTCCATTGATGCTAATAATGCGGACTTTTCTTTTGCTTGGTCACATGAAAATGGCATCTCTGGATTCCACAAATTTCCCCTTTTTATATTCGAAACAGCAGGCTGGTTTTGGGACTTGGGAATGCATTATTGCATACTCCTCAATATGTGACCCATTCAGATTCATCTTGAATCATCAAGATTTATACTAGTTTGTTTGGATTAACGGTTGTTAGGTGAATTTTATTTCAACAGACTTTTTAATAAATTGAAGTTAAGATAAAACTAAATTAGTATAATGGATAATTGTATTAAAAAAAGTTTTTTATATAAATTAAACTTGTTTAGATGACGTACTAAAGTATCATTTTCAAAAGATTTAAATCTAAATCAAATTTAAAATGTCAATTCCACTTTAAAGTGGCTTTCGGACCAAAACTCACTTAGTTCTATTATTATTACAAACAGATTTCTTCGCCCCCTTTTTGGGTCTGGTTCCGTACATTTGCAGTTTAGGCCTTCCTAACTTTATCCCAAATATGCTACAACTTCCTATCTTTAATATTAGATTTTTTATTTTTTATTTTGATTTTAAATATAAGATCTCAATTCATTTTATCTTTCATATTTATCTATTTTTATTTCAAGATAATCCTTCTAATAAATGTAGTTCTTGCCAAAACATTTTATTAGTAATGATATTTTAGAAGAGACAACACATATTTATTATAAATAACTAACTTAATTTGTTTCCTTAATCTATTGAAATTAGTCAACTAATTCTAATTTTAAGACCAAAGGTAATATTAATTTAAATATATTTATATAATATATATTTATTTTAATAGATATATAATTTAAAATAAGGAATTTTATGATTATCACTTCTAAGAAATAAATTCATTATTAAAAATTACATATTAAAAAAATTTAATCTGAATCATCAATCATATTTTTGACGACAATGAAACAACTTTCATCACAACAGTAACCCAATTGGAGTGTTTGGGACATCTCAAAATCATTTAAAAAATTATTTTCTCGTAAGTTGAAATAAATTTCTTTTACATACGTTGACAGTGTATGTCATAAAATTATTTTTAGAACTATAATTTAGTTTTCAACCAAACATCCCCTCAATGATAATCCGACTGGCCTTGAGGGATGTAATTAATTAATGTAATTTTGTCTTTGCATCAAAGCTATAATTTCTAACACATGAATTTCAACTACAAACCTAGTCACAGCAGACAATGTTGACATTTGTGGAATTTTGTATTGTGAATATGACATAACATATATGAATATAAAAAAAAATCTTTTTTTAATAGTTAAACTTAGAAAGTGAATGGCAGATAAATATGTAATGAAATTTAAACAAAAATAAAGAAATCACGCCTCAATTATTGAGGACAGAAGGCATGACTTGGCTTGACAACACAGAAGCCTGCGCCTGGAGGGAGTGTTTGGTAAGATTAATTAAAAAGTACTCCCTCCGTTCCTTATTATAAGAGACATTTGATGTTTATGGTATGTTCCTATATATAAGAGACACTTAAAAGTTGTCTCTACTTTTTTGTGTTGATTTTATTTTACCCATATTTATTGTTTCCAACTCACACTCTCTTTCCTTCCCACTTCTCTTTCTTTTAATAATTTAATTGTTCTCTCTCATACTCTCTCTCTTATTAATGAGGGCATTTTTGGAAAAAAGATTATACTTTTTACACATTGATTGTTCTTAACTAATTTAACTGTTTTTTTAATCAACGTAATTCGGTTATTCGTCTCTTATAATAAGGAATGGAGGGAGTAATTTTTAAAATATTTTCAGGTAAGTTGATAAAACTCTTTTATATATTTGTATATTATAAAATCACTTTTTAAAATCATGGTTTGATTTCTATTTAAACATATCTAATTATCACTCCTTCAGCTTCAATACATACGCAAGTATGGGAATGCGTATCTCATACACCTGCTTCTTCTTTCTGATCTGTAACCTATCTTCTTCCATTGATTTCTATTTAAACATATCTAATTATCACTCCCTTCAGCTTCAATACATACGCAAGTATGGGAATGCGTATCTCATACACCTGCTTCTTCTTTCTGATCTGTCCTATCTTCTTCCAAGAAACCCCCAAAACTCTACCTGCAGGGCCATGGAAATTACATCTCATCGGAAACCTACACCAACTTGATGGCTCACCACCTCATAAAGTCTGTCTTTATTTTACACACCAACAATAAAAGGATATAACGACTTTGAACACCCCCCCAAAAAAAAAAAAAAAAAGGATATAACGACATTTGTGGAATTTTACAACTTGCCGAAAGCGTAACATATACGGGCAAGTTGTCAGCGGCGTGAGATATACGTTAAAACAAAAATATAAATAAATGAAGGATAAATCATAAAGTCTATAAGTGACTTAATATATAAGACATAGTTAATTAATTTGAAAAAAAATAAGAAGTTTAAAAATTACTTAATTATATTATAAGATATGTGATCTCTCTAAAATACCTATGCATATAATTAGATTATATAACATTTATAAACCGAGCAAATTAATTTGGAGAAACACAATAAATATAAGACTTTAAAATTTTATAATCGGGTAAATTAGTTTGGAGAAAAAAGATAAATATAATATTTTAAAGTAATTTATTTAATTTATGTAATTTTTTCAAACTAACAAGCTGGGCTTTATATTAAGAAAAGATAATAACTATTTTTGAAGCCAAGTAAATTAGTTTGGAAAAAATGATAAATATATATTACCTCCCGTCCTTAATATAAGAACTAGTTTGACTTTTAATTTGATATTAAATATAAGACCTCAATCTATTTTTGTCTCTATATTTATTTATTTTTTCCGAGATAATCTTTATAATAGTTGCACATGTTAAATATTTAATTAAATGACATTTGATTAGTAAGGATATTTTAAGTGAGACACACCTATTTATTATAAATAACTAACATAACTAATTTTGTTGATCCACTCAAATTAGTTAGTTAGCTTTTATATTAAAGACCGAAGATAGTACTTTAAAATAATTTATTTAACTTTCTTAATCTTCTTAAATTAGTCCACTGGATTTTATATTAACAATTGGAGGTAGAGTAAATTGTGATAATATACATCGGCCCGAAAGGACGGGAAAGAGTGTCTTCTCATGTAAAAGGCATTATTTCACAATGTAAAACCTCACACTCATCTTTAACTAAAATTCTTCCAATATGGAGATACAGATTCTATATTCCATCATCTTCACTTTGTCCTGCTTCTTCTTTCTAATCTGGATGCTCTCTTCTTCCAAGAAACCCACCAAAACACTACCTCCAGGACCATGGAATTTCCTTTTATCGGAAACCCCCGCCAACTTGCTGGCTCACTACGTCATCGTTCTCTCACAAATCTTGCAAACAAGTACGGGCCCTTCGCGCATCTTCAACTTGGACAGGTTTCTCATCTCATAGTGTCTTCACCTGAATATGCCAAAGAAATATTGAAGACACATGATCGGGTCTTTGCAAATAGGCCAAAAAGTCTTGCCACTGACGTCTTTTCTTACATTAGTACAGATATTGTCTTCTCTCCATATGGAAATTATTGGAGGCAACTTCGAAAGATTTGCCTATTAGAGCTTTTCTCACCGAAGAGGGTTCAAATTTTTAGAAGAATAAAGGAAGAGGAGGTATCGGCACTTTTGAGGAACATCTGTGAGCATGAAGGTTTTGCCATAAACCTTAGCAAAAATATCTTCGCACTCACAAATTCTATAGTAGCAAGAGCAGCCTTTGGCAAAAAGACAGATAATGTAGAATATATCCTACATAATCTGCAAGATGTGACAGAGCTAAGTTCTGGCTTATCAATTTCCGATTTTTATCCTTCACTGAAACTTATTAGTGTTGTCACTGGGATGAGAGCTCGAATTATGAAAGCGCAGAAAGATGGTGATAGAGTGTTCGATGATATCATCAGGGAACACATAGAAAAGAAAAGGAACAATGATGGAGAGTACGAGGAGGATCTGGTTGATGTTCTTCTCAGGATTCAAAAGGATAATGACTTTGAGATCCCGTTATCTTTCGAAAACATTAAAGCAGTTCTTAAAGTTAGTTCGTGTGCACTTTAATCCTATAAATGTTATAAATTTGTAACTTCGTACATAAACACATCCGCATACACGTCTCTCTAAGCAATTGTTTGAATTCCTTTTTCAGGATGTTTTATTTGCTGGAACTGAAACAACAGCAACTACAACAAAACGGGCAATGTCAGAATTGCTCAAAAACCCGGAGGCTATGAAAGAGGCACAGATAGAGGTATAGGTACAACAAAAACTTTGAAAATACTCTCTTACAATTTCGTGAGTTGTGTTTGTGTGTGTATTAAATATGATTCTTACTAAACCCCAAGTCATTTACGGCCGCTCGTTTTAGATTTTTTTTTTAAAAAGAAAATCATTGACCAAACGTTAAAGGGTTAAAAACACTTTTATTTGATTATTTTTATTTGAATTTTGAAAATAATCAGAATAAAAAACAATAAGTCACATAATGACCAAACAAAAAGTAACGTCAATTTTTCATAAAATCTAAAATAGATTGAAAATCAATCACTTATTTTTAATATCCAACAAAAAGGCCATTATTTATTTGTTGAAATTGATTATAAAATTGAAATTATTGATTTGACTTATATATGATAATTATTATTGGCTTTATATTAGGTAAGAAGAGTTTATGGAGGCAATGGATATGTAGATGAATCAGAACTTCACCAATTTAAATATTTAGCTGCTGTCATAAAAGAAACTCTAAGGCGTTTGGTGCTGGGAGAAGAATATGTCCTGGAATTACATTTCACTACAAAAAAATGACTTTCAGCTACAAAAAGTCGCCGCCGAAAGTTTTTTGCGACGACAAGTCGCCGCTGAAAAGTCGTTGCCGTAGCAGCCGTGGCTGAAAACTTTCAGTGGCGACTAAAAAGGTCGCCGCTAAAAGATACTTTCAGCCGTGACTTTTAGAAGTTTCGGCGGCGACGAAAGTGTTTTCTGCGGCGACTTTTTTGTCGCCGCTGAAAGTAATGCCTAAGAAGAATTGGCTTTACCAATGCCACGTCATCGTCTCCGGCCGCCACATCATCACCGTCGACCTCCACGTCATCACCATCGACCTCCACATCATCGCTGCCGACCGCCACATCATCACTAGCCACCTCTACGTCATTGCCACATCACTCCTCCTCGCCACTTCATCGTCCAAATATTTTCACCTTAAATGTGTTTTCTTCCAGGTTTGAACTCGTGACCGCCTCCTTTCGTGTCCAACCTTCTTGCTGCTGAGCCAGATTGAATTTGTTTATTAATATTGTAAAATAAAATATATATTATTATATTATACTTTCAGCGGTGACAAAAAAAGTCGCCTCTGAAAGTCCACTTTCCACGGCGACAAAAAGAGTCGCCGTTGAAGGTCCACTTTCGGCGGCGACTAAAAGAGTCGCTGCTAAAAGTCCATTTTCGGCGGCCACAAAAAAAGTCGCTGCTGAAGGTCCACTTTCGGCGGCGACACTTTTGTCGTCGTCGAAAGTCTTGGTTTCAATGGCGAACTTTCAGTGGCGACTATTTTAGTCGCCGCTGAAAGTCTTAGTTTCAGCAGCGACTTTTTGGTGTCGTCGCTGAAAGTGGACTTTCAGCAGTGACTTTTTTTATCGCTGTCGAAAGTCGTCGCCTAAAGTCTGTTTTTTTGTAGTGTTTGCTATACCTGTTTTAGAGTTGTTGCTTTCCAATTTGCTTTACCATTTTAATTGGAAACTTGCAAACGGGATGAAGCCTGAGGAGTTAGATACGGATGAGTCATTTGGGGCCTCAGTAGGAAGGAAAAAGGATTTAATTGTAATTCCTATTGGCTATTCTCCTTAGTACTATATATCCTTATCACATGGTATTAAAACTCTAACTCAATTAAGTCGGTGGGTCAAACTATTAAATGAATAAACTACTCTTTTGGACTTTTTGGTTGTCCGATCATGAGCTTTGGGTACGAGTTTATTGGGTTGGACTTTTATATTTTTTCCTTTGCATTGCTTAGTTTGAAATGATACCATGTTGAGTTTCAAAATAATAGCCCATTAGATTCATATTTTAATAATTCTATTTTATTAGATTTTCTTGTGATTTATACATAAATCTTTCATTTACTCGTGGATTAAGTTTTTTATTTAAATATTACTTTTTAGAATTACATATGTCTAATTTTATAAGATTTAATTAAATTATATCGTTTTAGTGATAATTGGGTTTACCCTAGTACCTTAATTTATTACTAGCAAAGTGGTGTTTGGGCTAAATCATCTTGTTTTCCTTTCCCTTATTTGCAGATACACAGAAACAACATTAAAACCTTATCATCAGATAGAAGAGAAAAGGCCTATAAATTTCTAATTTTATAACTATGCTTAATATTGTCATTTTACTTCTACAAAATATGTTATTTTTGTTTGTTTTGAAGGCCTTTTCTCATATGTTTTCAGAGAGAAGTTGATAGAGGAGACATAGATAGTAATTATATATTTGTTTGTTTTAAAACAGACAAATATTGGCATTCATACATTCATCTATTATGAAACAAACAAATATAGGCATGCAACAGACGAATATGCATTTTTTTCCTGAAAAAAAGATAAAAATTTCCATGTTGCTAGTTTTTATTTAACTTGCAATTATAAAAGCATACATAGAGCAGAACTAAAATAGATTATAGCAAATAATAACAGTAATTTAGCACAACCAAATGACATGTTTTACATATAAATAGAATCCAGTCAATCCATAATTTTAAGGGTCAAAACATTTAAAACAAATAACATCCTAATTACTTAACTTAGTTAAGCAAAAACAACTAAATATCATAAGTTAGTCATATAACAGAAGAAAGTTTTAAAACCAAAAAATCTAATGACATCCTAACTTGGTTAAGCAATAAGAACTAAAGCTAGCATCCGAACCAAAAACTCAATTTCAAGCTTACTTGCAATATTAATTAGGATGATTGCAATATTCAACTCAAGCTTTCCAATATAAGTTGAAGCACACTTCTCCCAACACAATCTACCTACAATGTAATAAAAATAAAGTTATACACACACACACATGTTTAAATAGCATCTAAAGCTTTCTAAAATTCAATGTAAAGATTAAACATTGAAAATACTTAATTAGCTATTACATTCCAATCAAATTGCTCTCTTAGATATTTTCACAAACACCTTATGTGCATTGAGGTTTAAACAAGTTTGGCAAGCTTTTTAATCATCAAAATGTTACCCAATCAATGTTGAATAATTCCGAAGTGCAATTACTACCAACAATCAATTTTAATAGAAAACATACTGTTTGCCGATTAGCTAAACCGCAAGTGGATGGGTCGCAAATAATATAAAAAGTATCATTCCTCAGAGACTAAGGCTAGATGAGTTAAAAATCATAATTGTTTTTGATTAGGTTAAGTGAGACAAATGTTGTAGAAGAGTTTGTGAAATGAAATTAGGAAAACAATGATTTAAGGCAATATAAAAGCAACTTGACTTTGAAACAATTAAGGTACTAGGTTATTCTTCACTAAAATATTTCATAAAACTGGATTAATTACTTCTCAAGTAGTAATTAACAATAAGTTCAATTAACTAGGGTTTGCAGAATTGATTAAGCTTTCTCAAGTCAAAACCAAATGTTTGTAATCACAATAAAACATAGCAATCTCTTGTATTTGTTTGAAAAGGTTGCACTTTGAAAACCAAAACCAATTTAGTCTATGCTAGGTTAACAGATACATCTCTTTCTATCAACAAACTGTCTATTTACTCTATTAAATTTTTAGACTAGCACGTTTTTACCAATGTTCATAGATTAATTTAACTATTTCAAGTTTAAACTAATCAAACAATCAATCCAAATGATGGCTAGTCACAAGGAAGCATTAAGCACAAGGTAAAAACAACTGAACATTATCATTAATACTCAAGAGATAGTAAAACCAAGTCTCAATCCATAAAATAGATCAAAATAACCCTAGAAAAACTAATTTAGCTATACATGCTTAGTAAGAAGCCACAACTATAAGAATAGCTATTAGCCATTACAAAACAATAAGGGAAGAACAAGGGAACCCAGAAAAATCGAGTAAAAAGCTTCAAATCTATTCTAGCGTCAAGCCCAAAGATTCCAAGCTTCCAAAGCTCCAAACCCTAGCAGAGCAAGCCTCCAAAATCGCCCTAAAGTCGAAGTGTGTCTAGAAAAACCCGAGTCTCCCCCTGTATATGTCCTAATTTTTAAGTTATATCATAAAATGCACAACTGCGAGGGGTCAGGCGCCGTGGCGTATGTTGTCATCCACCACTGCGGATTACACAAGATGGCTTTCTTGGAAGAAGCTTTGGTGCCACAGCGTGTGTGATCATAGGCTGCAGCGGATTACACTGAACAAGGGCTCTTTTGGGATAGCTTGGGCGCTGCGACGAATATGGTCAGGAGCCGCGGCACCTCACATAGAAGTGTACTCCTTCCTCTCTATTAAAGCCGCCATGGTGTTTGTTCCCATGTGCCGCAGCAGTTGGTCTCTTTTCAGCCTCTCTACTTCTAGTCTCTATTCCTTACTCGCTTCAGGTTTTTTTCTTACAAAATTGACTTCCAAACCAAACAAAAGAGCGCTAAAACAAGTTGAATAAGTAGGAATTTTAAGAGGTTATCACATACACACCTACACATAGTTACATTAATTCCTTTCAACATCCAAAAACTCACATAATATAAAAGACACACGCCCATGCCACTTGCCTTGCGTTGTGAACAGGCTTAAGGTGGACGAGATTGAATGGTGACTTCTGTGGAAGAAAATGTTGCTCCTGGTTGTGGGATGAAATGGATGAAGAATGGGGAAGAGAGGGAGAAAAAGAAGAGGGAAGAGAGAGAGATAGAAGAAGACGACAAGCTACTAGCTAGAGAGGGAGAAAATAGATTTAATCGTCAGCATCGGCACTAAAAAGGAGAAGTAAAAATCTAAAGAAGGAAGAGAAAGAGCTCGCTGCACACAAAGAAGAAAGGAGAAGGCGTACTTCCAGAGTACGTTCAAATCTGTGCACAACAAAGATGAAATTTGAATAAAAAAGATGCTATTCATCTGTTTCTAAGAGAAACAAAGGAGTATGGGGAGCTCACACTCGTCTGTTCATCATGATAGACGAGTATGGGAGCCCATACTCGTCTGTTACAACATAACAAACGAGTATATTCTCTCATACTCGTCTGTTGTGAGGAACATACGAGTATACTCGTTTGAAGGCCCATATTCTTCTGTTTTTCAAAACAGACGAAAATGAGCAATCAAAATGACCTTATTTGCAGTAGTGTTTTTTTTAATACTTTTTTATATTAAAAGAATTCATAAATAACACATAACTGAATTTCGCAATACAGAGTACACTAAATTGGTTTTAGGAATCAGAACAGAGTTGACTCCGCCATAGCTTGCTGCACAATATCGCTCTGCCAAGGAAACAGAGGCCAGAGATCTAAATTATAGTGATGAGTGAATTCCCATATATATTAAAAATCCATTATTCACAACAAAGACCAAACTCATTAGCCCACCCAAAAAATTTTCACAAAAGGAGGACAGAATGTTTTTTGCAGGTCAGAATCTTTTAGGGATGTGTGAAAGATAGGAGGAAAATTGTTAGATTCCAACCATATATGCCTCCAACTAGTCATTGTCGTCCACGGGAAATCCTCCTTTCTTCTTAGATCTATTCACTAGCCTAATACTAGGACATTCTGTTGTAAAAGAAGAGAGTAATAATACTCAATTCTCCGCTACGGCGCTTGATAGTACCCCGAGAGATTAGTCTCTTACTGTTCGGGCGGGAGGATACTCTGGGCCACCAAAAAGGAAAATTTTGGTTGTTTATAAGTCAAGTGAAGTGAGGTTATTTTGTAAGAGAAGAGAGTAATAATACTTATATACTCAAATTAGTTGAATAATTCTTATATTAAAGATTAGAGGGTATAAAATTAATTAGGTTTACTTGCTTGTGGGGATGAATTGTTTGATATTTTAATGAAAATGGCCGAAATTTTTTATTTCAAACTGGACCACTATATTTGGTCCAAAAAACACTGGACCACTATGTCACCAAAAACAAAAAAGGGACCACCATATTAGCCACCGTCAATAGTCGCCTTTCACTAGGGATTTATAATTGGCGTTTATGATTTAAAAGCCACATAAAGCGCACGACAGATAAATTAATTAATTTTAATATAATTTTTATTTTTTATAATTGTGATCTGAAATGATTGTCAATAAATAACATACTTCTTTTTCATATGAAGCACTTGGCAGCTTTTTATCCGACTGACTATGATGGAGACATTCTGGAATTATTAATATAAATTTCATATCAATAAGTACTTTATTTCAACTGTAGCAAGTCAATGGGGCATGAAATTTACGTCAAAAAAGAGAGGGCTGCTTGCAAAATAAATTACAGTTCATGCCTATAAAAGGCGTAGCTTGAAAACATAAAACCTCGAACTTGACTTGAAGTAAGCCATCATTCTTTCAATATACGAACGATCATATGGAGATACAGATCAAATATTCTATCATCTTCTTCACTTTCTTCTGCTCTTTCTTTGTCGTCCACAAGCTATCTTCTTCCACAAAACCGATGAAAACCTTGCCTCCAGGGCCATGGAAATTACCTCTTATAGGAAATCTTCACTAACTCATTGGCTCACTACCTCATCGTACTCTTACATATCTAGCAAACAAGTATGGACCCTTCATGCATCTTCAACTTGGACAGGTTTCTCATATCATAGTGTCTTCACCTGAATATGCCAAAGAAATAATGAAGACCCATGGTCAGATCTTCGCAAACAGACCCAGAACTCTTGCCTCTGATATCATTGCCTACAACAGCACAGACATCTTGTTTTCCCCATGTGGAAACTATTGGAGGCAACTTCCAAAGATTGGTACTTTAGAGATTTTTTCAGCAAAGAGGGTTCAATCATTCAGAAGGATTAGGGAAGAGGAGGCAATAGAACTTGTAAGGAACATCGCTGAACATGAAGGCTCTTTCATAATAAACCTTAGTAGAAAAATATTCACTATCACGAATTCGATAATTGCTAGAACGGCCTTTGGGAAAAAGACAAAGAATGTAGAACACATCTTGGAAAATATGGACAAATCGATAAAAATGAGTTCTGGGTTATCTATTTGTGATTTATATCCATCGCTGAAATTTATCAGTGTCATCACTGGCACGAGAGCTCGAATGATGAAGTTGCAAAAAAGGAGACAAGGTGAAGATGACATCATTGGAGACCACAAAGAAAAGGATAGAAATAACGTTGGAGATGCGGAGGATGATCTTTTTGATGTTCTTATCTCTTGACAACATTAAAGCTGTTCCGAAAGTTAGTTTTCATAGGCACTTTATCATATATTAATAAATGTCAGATAATTTGTGATTTTATACACAAAATGCACAAGTGCACACACTCATCAATTCCTCTAATCAATTGTGTGAATTCCTTTTTCAGGACGTCATGTTTGGTGGAACTGACTCAACGGCATCTACAGCAGATTGGGCGATGTCAGAATTGCTCAAAAACCCAAAGGCTATGAAAGAGGCACAAGAAGAGGTATAGATACAATTAGAATTTTGAATATTGTATCATAATTATTTTTTTTTACATTAATTTATAAATTTGAAATTACTGAGTTGACTTGCACATGAGTAATTTTTTTTGGCTCTATATTAGGTAAGAAGAATTTATGGAGGCAAAGGATATGTAGATGAATCAGAGGTTCATCAACTAAAATATTTAAGTGCTGTCATTAAAGAAACCCTAAGGTTTCATTCACCTGGGCCATTGTTAGCTCCAAGAGAAAATTATGAGAGTTGCGAAATTAATGGATATGTGATACCTCCTAAGACAGATTATCATTAATGCTTGGACCATTGGAAGAGATTCCAAGGATTGGACTGACCCAGAGAAGTTTGAACCAAAGAGAATTCTTGATACAATGGTTGAATACAACTTCAAAGTTTCAAACTTTGACTATATTCCATTTGGTGCTGGAAGAAGAATATGTCCTGGATCAACATTTGCGACATCTATTTTAGAGTTGTTACTTTCCAATTTACTTTGCCATTTTAACTGGAAACTACCAAACGGCATGAAGTTTAAGGAATTGGACATGGACCAGCCATTTGGTGCCGCAGTAAGAAGACAAAATGATCTGATTTTAGTTCCTATTGGCTATTCCCCTTGAGTTTATGTGTTTAGTACCTGAATACTGTTTTAATTAGCTGGTTTTAGATATCTTTAAATGCGTGTTGTTGAAGCCAGAAATAAATTAAAAAGATCGTTTTGTATTGAATTTTTTTTTTTGGTGGAGAATTATAAACTAGATGCTTTTTCATTTCAGAAAAGAGAGCAGCAAAATAAACCTTCAAATTGCGTAAACGATTTGTTTGTTTCTTATTATTAGTTCTCTCCAAGTCTCTGTGATATTACCTTACATTAAATTAATAAAATAAAGGTTTAAAATTTTGTAGCTATTTTTTGACTCAATAATACATTCAAACTTTTGTAACTATTTCTACTCCATAACATTACGCAATATTTAAAATGTGATTCAACAAGATTGATTGAATATAATTCAAAGGTAACCCACGTCTTTCGTTCGTATAGAAAAGTCTAACTATATTTCTTTTGATTCAAATATCACAATATGTACGTGTGTGTTATATAATCTAAAAACAAATTCAACAAGATGCCATGGGTGTTGATTAAGCAATGAGACCCACAAATTAAAGATTCGTTAACTTAATCTACAGATAATTAATTATAATATAATTTATTTATTTTAATATTTTGATTTGAAATCAGACACTACACTATTGGCCTTTAATTTTAAATCAAGGGTCAGTGATTTAAATCGACCAGGGTTATGGTACCCACCCACATTGCCGATGTACTGTTATTCAAAGGTATGCATGTTGGGATTGGTGGGGAAAAAATGTCAAAGTTGATAACTAAAGATTTTAAATCAATTAATGACAACAAATATTTATGCATTTTTACTTAAATTTTAGTTACCGTTGAATCGACGTTGTGGAAGCCAGAAATGAATAAAAATGGTTTTGCTTTGAATTTTTTTGGTGTAAAATGATAAACTAGCTGCTTTTTTAATCCTTTTTTTTTTTTTGTAAAATGCTTTTCTTACTAATTTATTCATAAAAGAGAGCAGCGCAATAAATCTCAAAAGACTCTCATTTATTTCTTACAAAAAGTCTCTCCTTCAGAGGGGGGGAGAGAGAGAGTCCATATATAGTGGCTTGTTAGTTGGCCAAAAAAAAAAATGTATAGTGGCTTATTGTTAATTTTGCATTTTTGTATCAAATTAAAGTTGTAATTTCTAAGAAAGGAATTTCCGCTACAAACCAATATTAATTAGAGTGTATATTCTTTATCCCATCAATAATATAAATACGACTCTGGAGGAGTACATAAAATTTATCATCAAGAAAATTACATATTAAAAAAATTTAAATTTAAATTTCATCAAAACAGTAAAAACTTGACTAATGAGGATCATTTACTTCTGGAGGGGCGGCTTCTCTCCATCTCCCTTCCGCAGCCCCTTCCCTGCATGGACCTTAATTTGTGGGAATCTTTCTTCGTTAACTAACAAGTGACAACATTATAATATAAAACTTCAAATAAACCTTGTTTGAAACGGTGGCGAAGTCAGGCGGCACAAAATATACGTCAAACGAAAAGTAAAGGGGGAAAAAATCATGAAGTCGACGATTTAGAAATTTTAAAATACAGTTCTTGCCTCTAAAAAGGATTAGTTAGGAATTTTAAATTACAATTCTTGCCTATAAAAGGCGGGCTTAACAGCTCAAAATCTCACACTACCATTCTTTCAATATGGAGATGCAGATCCCATATTCCATCATCTTCTTCACTTTCTTCTGCTTTTTCTTTGTCATCCACAAGCTATCTTCTTCCGCAAAATCCATCAAAACCCTACCTCCAGGGCCATGGAAATTACCTCTCATAGGAAATATGCACCAGCTCATTGGGTCACTACCTCATCGTTCTCTCGCAAATCTTGCAAACAAGTATGGTCCATTCATGCACCTTAAACTTGGACAAATTTCTCATATCATAGTGTCTTCACCTGAATATGCCAAAGAAATAATGAAGACCCATGATCAGATCTTTGTTAACAGACCCAGAATTCTCGCCTCTGATATCTTTGCCTACAATAGCACAGACATCATCTTTTCCCCATATGGAAACTATTGGAGGCAACTTCGAAAGATCTGTACTTTAGAGATTTTCTCAGCAAAGAGGGTTCAGTCATTCAGAAGGATTAGGGAAGAGGAGATATCAGCACTTGTAAGCAATATTGCTGAACATGAAGGCTCTTTCATAAACCTTAGTAGAAAAATCTCCACGCTCACGAATTCCGTAGTTGCGAGAACAGCCTTTGGGACAAAGACACAGAACGTAGAACAGATGTTGGAAATTATGGAGCAAACGATAAAGTTAAGCTCTGGGTTATCAATTTCTGATTTGTATCCGTCGCTGAAATTTATCAGTGTCATCACTGGGACGAGAGCTCGAATCATGAAGTTGCACAAAGAGGGAGATAAGGTGTTTGATGACATCATCAGAGACCACAGAGAAAAGAAAAGAAACAATGTTGGAGAGGCAGAGGAAGATCTTGTCGATATTCTTCTCACGATTCAAAAGGATAATGACTTTGACACCCCCTTTTCTCTTGACAACGTTAAAGCTGTTCTTAAAGTTAGTCTTCGTATGCACTCATCATATTCTTTTTTGGCCTGATGCACTTTTTCATATTGAATGTAACATAATTTGTAATTTATTTTGATACTCAAAATGCACACACACATTCCTCTAATCAATTGCATGAATTCCATTTTCAGGATATTTTCTTTGCTGGAACTCAAACAACAGCAACCACAACAGAATGGGCGATGTCAGAATTACTCAGAAACCCAAAGGTTATGAAAGAGGCACAAGAAGAGGTATAGATAAAATTAGCTAGAATTTTGAATGTTGTGATATCATAATTTTGTGGGTTGTGTGTATCTATAAATACAGTATATATTAATCTTATAGTATCTATATATGATATTTTATTTAATTCATTTATTCATATTGATTTATAAATTTGAAACTATCGAGTTGACTTATACTTGAAAATTATTATTGATTCTACAATAGGTAAGAAGAGTCTATGGAAGCAAAGGATATGTAGATGAATCAAATCTTCACCAATTGAAATATTTAAATGCTGTCATCAAAGAAACTCTAAGGCTACGTTCACCATTAGCATTGTTGGTTCCAAGAGAAAATAGTGAGAGTTGTGAAATTAATGGATATGTGATACCTCCTAGGACAAAGATTATCATTAATGCTTGGGCCATCGGAAGAGATCCCAAGAATTGGAATGATCCAGAGACGTTTGAACCAAAGAGGTTTCTCAATACGATGGTTGACTACAACTTCAAAGGTTCGAACTTTGAGTATATCCCATTTGGTGCCGGAAGAAGAACATGTCCCGGATCCACATTTGCAATGCCTATTTTAGAATTGTTACTTTCCAATTTACTTTATCATTTTGATTGGAAACTACCGAAGGGGATGAGGCCTGAGGAATTGGATATGGATGAGTCGTTTGGTGGCTTCGTACGGAAGAAAAATAATCTCATTTTAGCTCCTATCGGCTATTCCTCTTGAGTTTATAGTGCACATATTTATTCCGCGAATAATGATGTCTCGTCCGATTTTAGATCCTATTTCCTAATTAAATTTTTAATGAGGGATTTATCTCTAATTTTCTCTTAATTATATATGGGAGAACTTTGTTTTCTCGTTTTGGTCTATTTCCATCTTGTGAAGTTTATATTATCAATATTTAGTTAGAATTCCGTAGTAGGGAGCACGCACTTTGACTTTCCCGAAAGATAAAGAGAAACTCCTGAAAGGGATTAACAAGAAGATCAAATCACAGTGCAAGCAGCTTTGTCATTCTAAACACGTAGGGGAAGATAAGGAGAAGCTTCTTTTCATTGATCGTATCATTTATATTAAAAAAAAAAATTAAAGCGTAGGGGAGTATTGATTATACTAGTTAAGAGTAGTGATTGAGGGAGTTGCTGAGTGTGGCTTTAGTTTGAAATTTCAGCCATATTTTAATCACTGTCAGACGCCTTTTTCATTGACTCAAAAAGGATAAGATTGGTGGCCGCTTGTCCAATTCTCACCACACGACAATCTCTTAAAAGCCAAATAAATTCATGTGGGCCGCGTTATAAAATGGCTTTACTGTAGTTTATAGAAATCAACGGAAAATTCGAACTTTTTTTTTCTTGATATTTTCAAATGACCCTTTTGCATTCCCAAATATCGCTTGTCTCTATAATGTGTGTATATGTAAATTATATATGTATGTGTATGCGTATAAATATATACAGGGACCGAGCGAAAAATTGAAGAATAACTGACTTGTATTGTTGATCAGTAAGATCCTCGGTTTTCTTAAATTTTAGAAGATTGTATTGTTCTCCACTGTTTGGTGAGTATTCGCTGCAAACTCCAGCTTAGGTATTAATAGCAAAGAATGCCTTGTACGTTTTCAAAAGCAACTTGGCCTTGTAGCTAAATATAAGTGGATTTGAGTCAAATGCAGGGAGTATTTCAGTGAAGTTACCAAAAGGTCTTATTTAGATTAACATTGATAAAGGTAATTTTTATCCCAATTGACTTTTGTGAATTGAAGATGAGGTAAAAGTCAATTGATGCCTGCGATTTATATTTAAATAAGCTTTTGTTTTTTTCAAAAAAAAAAAGTCAGCCTGACATAAACTTTTATAGATAATAAGTTGAAAACTTTATTTTAAAAGCTTTAAATTTGAAGAAAATGCAAAAACCAGAAATTAAAAAAGAGTTATTTTAACTTTAAAGTGGCATTTGACAAAAAAATCAGTTTTTTTTTTTGCGCCAACGGCCAAAAAAACCAGTTACTCTAAAAGCACGTCAAACTTTTTGTTTGTCATCGTCCCAAGGCTTATCCTACATAAGTATATAATAAGGTTAAAGAACTCGTAAATGTTAAAGATTTTGAATTTAGCTGTGGCATCTTGCAACTACTCATTGTTGGTTTCCGCTCTCCTTTCCTCATAAAGATTAGAACCTGATTTCAGCCTAGTTTCGTCAGTCCCTTAA